CAGAGCTTGTTATTGGAAAACTGGGAAGTAGTGCAAGGTCCTGCCACTTGTTAACCCTGAGTGAGCTTGGACAATGAGTGAGTTTGCAAAATTTCCTGTTGCTCCAATCGTATTTAATTATTTACAGCTGTTCTGCTTCATGACCTTATCCGTGGCTTTGTGGAGAAAGGGAAGGATAAAACAGCAGGACATGTCTAGTAATTTACTTATTATGAGTTGTACTTGATTAAAATTTGTGTGAAAGTTTCTAATTTCATGTGAAAGTTGATTGCACAGAGGCTGATTAAGTATAGTCTCTGCTGCTTTCATTCATTGCACTTTTGGACAGTTACCCATAGAGTTCCTGGATGCAGTAATTGGGCAATAATGTGTGACAGGCAGTGTGTTTCTGGGGGATCATTGCCTACCTGGGGTGTAGCTGAGAGCAGTGATTTGCTAAGAACCTGTTAAATGATGCTCAGGTTGCTTATCAGTGGATTGACTTGTTATTTCTCTGCCTTCACGATTCATTTGTCCTGCATTGCAGCTGTGCAGAGTCAATTCAAAAACTCTGCTAAAACATGTTATGTTCATAGGCTCATAGAGAGGCTTAGGTTGGAGGGTACCTTAGAGATCTCCCAGTTCCAACTAATGCCATAGAGAGGGTTGCCAACCACAAAATCTGTTGCTTAGGGCCCCATCTAGCCTGGCCTTGAGTGCCCCCAGGGGTGAAACCCTGAAACCTTTGGTAGGCCTGATGAGTTGGTTCCCTGCAGTTCCCCAGAGCGATGCTGTGAAGTGGGAGCCCTGTACTGCTTTCCTTTTTTGTTTTGTTACTGTTGTCTTCAGCAAACAAAGAGATGTGCTGAGCAGGTTTCTTCCTTAGTTCCAGAGCACAGCGTGATCATGACGACAATAAGCAAGCACTCCAATGTCAAGACTTTCACAGAGAAGCTGCTGCTGCTGCTGAACAGGGGAGGTGAGTGCAGCACTATCACCTGCCTGGCAGGGGGTGCAGCTCCTGGGAATGGTGCTTGGTAAGAGCTGGGGGTGCTGGGGCTGCTGGCAGCTGAGAAGCTGTTGGCTCAGGCTGACGTGCTGCTCAGGGTGAAGCTTCCCATTTCAGACTGGCCAGCAGAGGGTTAGCTTTCTGCCTGCTCCAGGCATGGAGTGAAATCCGCTGTATGCACAGAGCTTGTGCACAGCAGATTGTTAGAAAGCTGGAGATCACTGCAGGCGGAGCAGTGCCAGGTATTTCTGCCTGCGCTGCATGCCACTATTGTGCTTTCTAATACCTTCTGGAGCACAGGGGCTTTGCAGCTTGAGATTTGTTTTGTTGATATGCTGGTAAATAACTCACCCTATGATGCTTGCAGCTCGTCTTACTCGGGCTTCAGTTCTCTCTGGGATCACAAATCAGTTTCCACGCTATACCAGCTTCGGGCAGCCTGCATTTCAGTGCTTCTCTGGCCCTGTCCAAAAGCCTTTGTTTAGCTTTCCCCGTATTTAGATTCCCTAAAAGGATTTCCTTACTTTGAGGAGTAGGAGGACTACAACCAAAGGAAGATGCTTCTCCTGTGCCCACCTCCTGCACTACCCATAGCCCCTTCTATGGTCTGCAGGGCCATGTTTTGATAGAAAACAGGGTACAAAGTGGGTAATTTAAACTTGGAGGTGTTTCTTTTATTGCTTCCAGAACAGTCCTAGCCTGGTCTCCATGGTGAAAACTTATTTCTGATGCAGGCTCTGGTGGGCTTTTCAGAGGGGTCATTGGACCAGACTTAATAAACCAGGGAGAAAATGAGTGGTGGCTGTTGAGCAAGGAGGGGAGGCACTGAGAGGTAATGTGCTAATGAGCTTTCACCTGGGATGTTAGGTGAAACATAAACAATGATTAATGCTAATGCTAATGAGTTTGGTCTCAGCTTGGTGCCCTGCAGAGCTGCCATCCTGATTACACGGCTTTGTGCAAAGCAGTAGGGACTGCTGGCATAAAAGCTAGCCATGGGCAGGGAGCAACTGGCTGAGATGGGGGCAGGCCCCTCCCAAAACCTGTGGGGAACAACGCAGGGGTTGGCACTGATGGAGGTGGGCAGCAGGGAGTGTGTGGCTTAACGCGATTTCTCTGCCACCCCCAGATGATCCAGTTTGTATCTTCAAGCATCAGCCTCAGCCGCCACACTCGGTGCTGAAGTTCCTGCAGGACATCTTTGCCAGCAAGGACACAGCCAGCATCTTCTACCACACAGACATGATGGTCCTGATAGACATCCTGGTGCGGCAGATTGCTGATCTCTCCCCTGGAGACAAGGTGCTCACACAGAGCCATGGGCACTGAGGAGGGGAGCATGGTCCCAAAGCAGTGGTGTTTCTCCTCACCTGTGGGGTTTGGTGGTGCAGACAGGGGTGGAGTCCTGGGGCAGGCAGAACATTTCTGAATGCTGAAATCTGTCTGAGGGGCTGGGGAGAAAGGGTGGATTTGTCCTGCCTGGCACATGGCAATAGGAAGGTGTGTTTGAAGGAAGATCTGCCAGCTCTGGTGGTCTGTGCCCTTCTGTTCAGGGACCTTTAGGAAAAGAGCCGCTCTGTGAGTAGCAGAAGGAGGGATCTCCTGCGTTTTATTAGTGCTAGAGGCAGGGAACTTGCTTATGTTTGGGAGCAATCAAGAGCATTATTGAGGTGCTGTGGGAAAAGCACAGTTCTCCATAGCTAACGATGAGTCCTCCAGAAAAGCAGTGCCTTTGGAGTTCTCTCTGGCTGGTCATGCAGCAGCAGCTGCTCCTGTGCTCATGCTATAATGGAGGCTGGCACTCTCGTTTATCTCATTTTGAGTTTTTCATTGTGCCCTGTTTTTTCTCCCCTCCCACTTGGCAGCTGAGGATGGAGTATCTGTCTCTGATGCACGCCATCATCCGCTCCACGCCATATCTGCAGCACCAGCACCGCCTCTCTGACCTGCAGGGCATCCTGCAGCGCATCCTGGGGGAGGAGGAGGAGGAGCAGCAGTGCCAGATGGACAAACTGATCATCCTGGAGATCTATAAGGAGTTCCCAGAAATCTCCCCTGGTACCAGCTAACCGCCCCTCGGACTGCAGTTTGAACCACTTGGATCAAAGACGTCTCTTGTTGACACTTTCTCCCTGTTCCCTTCCAGTACAGCTCATACCTTATCCTCCTTTGCGCGAGGCCTAAGGTTTGGACAGTGTTCACCGGCCCTGTAGGAGTGTCAGCGGGGTGCCCTGGGGCCTGGTGCTCCAGGGTGGGCAGCGCTGGGCAGAGCAGGCTGGGTGCTGGTGCTCGGTTTGCTCCCAGCGCTTGAGCAGGAGGCACTTTTAGCCAGCAGGAAGGGCAGAGCCCAGAGGGACTCAGCAGCCAGTGGGGTGTGTTTAGCTACGCTGGTGTCCCGACGTCCTGAAGCGAAAGGCCTTTGCCTTAGAGCATCACTTTATTTTCCATGTGCATCTCTCCCTGCAGTGACCAAGTGGAGTCTGTTGGTGCTTGGAAGAAGCTTTTGTAACATCTGTTTTGTTTCTGCTGCTCGTGCCAATGCGCTGCAGCGCTGCCCCGGGAGGCAGTGGCTCACTGCCCAGCGCCTCGCCTGCGAGCCTGACCCTCCCTGCTGGCCTGCAGCTACCGCTTGGGGCAGCACTGCGCCTGGGGTCCTGCTCTTAGCGCAGCAGCTGCTTTGTTCAACCCGCTTTCTGTAGTGACATTTAGATCTGAGTATCTTGCACACTGCAGCAGCCCAGAACTGTGACCCTTTGGTGCTGCTGTTAGGAGCCTTTGGTGTGGCTGTGGCACAAGCGGTGCCCCGTGCAGCCACAGCTGCTGCTTGCCGCCTCCCCAGCAGCACTGCCCCAGGCAAAGGGGCTGCATGTGGGCAGTGCTCTGTTCATAATGCCTGTGGGTTTCTTGCCTTGAGCTTCGCAGTAGCTCTGCTCGCTGCCCTCCTGTCCATGAGGCAGCGTGCGCCTGGTGTCCAGTGGCTGTTTGTGACCATGCACGAGTGTGGGGAACCCTTATTTATATCCCCTTTAGGTTTCTAGCCAACAGAACTAACCCTGTATCCCTGTTACAGATAGTCACACACTAACGTGGGTCCCTTAGGTATCCGTGTGTGCAGTCTGGTCGCTCCTGTCCCCAGCTCTTCCTCTGCAGTACCCTGTGTAGAAGCTATGGGCATTTGGAACTGGAAGCACTGGGCACAGAGATATGGCTGTAGGAGACAACAGCTGAGCTCTGATCACAGGTCTGGGCTCTCGGCACTGTCATGCTCAGGAATGGAAAGGTTTGGCCTGGGAATGCCTGAAGCTTAATGACCGCCCTCGTAGAGAAAACTATTTTTCCCGTGTAAAAATGTATGAATGTCAAAAGGGATGCTGTATTTTCTTAAACACTGAGTGTAACATGCAGAGGAATAAAGATGTCTTAAACTGGATTTGTGTGAGCACAGCCCTGTCTGGCCACGGTGAGCCCTGCAGTGTGGTTGGAGGGGACCTTAAAGATCATCTCATTCCGACCCCTGCCCTGGGCTGGCTGCCCCCACCAGCTCAGGCTGCCCAGGGCCCTATCCATGGCTTTGAGCACCTCCAGGGATGGGGGATCGCAGCTGCGGGCAGCCGTGCCAGTGCCTCACTGCCTTGAGTACAGAATTTCTTCCTAACGTCCAACCTACATCTCCCCTCTTGTAGTTTAAAGCCGTTTCTCCTCTGAGTGCTATGCGGCCCTGTCACAAGTCGGTCCCACTCCTGCTTCTATGCTCCCTTCAAGTGCTGGAAGGCTGCACTGAGGTCTCCCCGTATCCTTCCCTTCTCCCAGCTGAACAAGCCAAGCTCCCTCAGCCTGTCTCCACGTGAGAGGTGCTCCAGCCCTGCGAGCATCCTCGTACCGCTCCTCATCCTCCCCGATGGCCAGCTGGGTAATTAGCACAAGTCAACTGGAAAGCCGTCAGCGCTTTTTAAGAGCACGGGCTCTGCTGCCGGGAGTCCACACGGCAGACGCTGCGGTGCGGCAGCCCGGGATGCCGAGTGCCGGCGATGACGCGGGCCGCTACACGTGCGAGGCCGCGATGTTCGGCAGCCGGGCCCTAAGGAACCCCACGCGGAGCCGCCCTGCGAAGACGGGACCGCGCGCCCGCCCCGCTCCGCCGGCCCGCAGCAGCGCCCCGTGCCCGGCCGGCGGCGGGCAGCCCCGCACCGCCGCTCCTCCCTCCCCAAGATGGCGGCGGGGCGGGGCGGCCATGTTGGGCTGCGGGAGGAGCCGCCACTCCCGGCGG